GAATGCCAGTGGGGGGCAGTGAACCTAATACCAGTGGGTGCGGTGTACTGAATGCCAGTGGGGTGGTGAACTGAATCCCAGTGAGATGGTCGTGAACCCAACAAAACAGTGAACCACAAGCTGGACATGGGGTGATTTGAATGCTGGGTCACATGGTTAATGAAATAGTGGACTAGTTAGTGGGATGGTTAGTGGGGTGATTAAAAGTGTGATTAGTAGGCTAGTTAATGGGATGTTTACTGGATTAGATAATGGGGTGGTTGGTCGAGTGATCTCTAAGTTGATTAATGGGATAATTAGTGAGGGGATGAGTGGGGTTGTTAATGGGGCGGTTAATGGGTTAGTTGGTGCAGTGGTTAATCGGTTGCTTCGTGGGATGGTTAGGTGGGGTGTTAAATCAGTTGGTGGGGTATGATTGGGGTAGTCAGTGGAGTGGTTAGTTAGTGAGTGAGGAAGCCAACCACCAAGCCGGGCTGCACACGCGAGTATGGATAGAGTGGGTGTTGTCTTCCTGTTCGAGACGCACAGCAATGATGAGAGTTTTATCAACTCCCTAAGCAGCAGTAGGAAGAGATACACTGTTTTTAAAAGATATTCACTTCCCTTTTGAACGTTGGTAGTGAATCTGCTTCCACTGTCCTTTCAATCAGTAATCTGTACAGCTTTACACCTTTACAAAAACATATTCTTCTCTCTTTTCCTAACCACCATAAATCTGTGCCTTCTGGTTATCAACATTCCAGAAATTGGGAACAGCATCTCCCTCTCTTATTTATCAAAATCCTTCATGATTTTGAACACCGCTGTTGACTCTCCCTTCCTCTAAAAGAGAGTTGTTAAAGGTTTCCAGTTTCTGTTCTTTATATATTCAGCTCACTACTTGGAAGGACCAGGCATTTCCTTTCCAGGAGTAACCGAGATGACTGGCAACCTGGAATTCTCAGCCAAAGCAGCAGGTCATGGAATGACCCATATTGTCTTCATGTGTCAAGTTGCTGTTTGAATAAGCAAAGCAGTCAAAAAACAATTGGATCAATTTATGAATCAGTCAGAAGAGAATTAGGGCATGTGGTAGAGAAAAGATGATAAATTGTCTGATTGCAATCTGGCGTGGAACATTAGAGGATGGAATGAGCAAATAAGCTTTGTATTTACATTACATGAGCCCTATATGCCATTATCAAGATGCCCTCCCCTCTGGCAATCTAAGCTTTGTTCAGTAAATCATTCTACAGACCATTGCACAAATGTTGTTCACAGTGGCACGAGAGTCCCAAGTCTGGAAGCCCTGGTCCTAATTCAGACTGGTACTATTCTTGCCAGGGGTGTGGAAGGAGAAGGAGACCGGATGTGATTCCTGCACATTGTAAACTCAAACCTGGAATGGTCATTTGAGCTCACCATTGAGTTCAAGTGGAACTAATTTTGAACAGAGTAACAGTGTGTGACAATTGATCACAGGAGATGTGAATGTGTGTAAAAAGCCAGATAATGTTTGTAAAACTGTCAAGTTATATAAATCCGCTGGTCCTTAAATGCGGGGTGGAAAACACAGCTCCATATTCACATGAGGGTCATAAGATGTCACTCAATGTATTATTCTGCTGCAATGATAGAGCTTTGCATAACTTTATCTATTACTTTAAGACTGCACCCAACTCCAAAGATTTGAGTGCACAATCCCGGTTGATGGTCTAGTGTTAAAAGAGAGCTACACTGTTGGAGATGTTATATTCAGGATGAAAGACCCCCATCTTCCCTTTCAGCTATATGTAAAAGATTCCTTTGCATTTCTTGAAGAAGAGTAGGAGAGTTCTCCCTAGTGTTTTTGTCAACAATTATCCCCAACCAGGAGCAAAAATTAAATTATTTAGTCGTTACTACGTTGTTATTTTTCAGACCACGGCTGCCACACCTCCGACAATACAACAGTGACTGCCTTTCTACAATTATTTCACTGGTTCAAAAGTGCTTTGGGACATCTTACATCATGAAAGAAGTTATATAAATGAAAGTTTGTCTCTCTCAAGGTTCAATTGCTGCAAATAGTACAACCTGAGGTATTCAAGGGTCAAAGGGCTGAAGAGTGGCAGATAGAGTTTAATTTGGATAAATGCAAGGTGTTGCATTTTGGAAAAACAAGGACATTTATACAATTAAAGTAGGGCCTTGGGTAGTGTTGAAAAACAGAGAGATCTAGGGGTTCAGGTACATAATTCTTTGAAGTTTGCATCACATAGGGTAGGGTGGTTAAGAAGGCATTTAGCATGCTTGCCTTCATTGCTCAGATCTTCAAGTATGGGAGTTGTATAACCTTAACATAACGTTCCATCACATTGGTGAGGCCTCTTCTAGAGTACCATGTCCAGTTCTGGTTGCCCAATTATAGTAAGGATATTATTAAGCTGGAGAGGGTTCAGAAGATATTGGCATGGACTGGTTGGACCAAAGGGTCTGTTTTTTCTTCTCTATTCATTCACAGGATGAGGGCTGTATGACCAAGAGTGAAATTCACAATGTTACTCTCCATGAGTAAAAATATGAACTGTTAAAAGCTATTGGACAGTCAGCCACAAATTAGACAAAGTGTTACAAGGCATGGCAAGAGGCACATGCTTTCTGCATAGCTCTTCAATGTTTTGTCACAATAACAGCCACCCACCAGCGCCACCCCCGCCCCACCTCCATTTCTATACTTTTGTCTCAAGTTGCTCTCACTTACTGATAAGGACAGTCGCAGGTTGACTTCGTACACCAACTCCAGCACTGGTAGCCGCTGCTACTTCCACACGGTACAACACGCCAGCTATCAACCCCCGCACCACTGTTGAATGGACAGTCCCATCAATCGACTTGTTGACATGGAAACGGGTATCATTTCCCAGACACCAAATCTACCATAGCAAACAGATCAAATTAAGAACGGCAGCACTCTCAGGAACAAAATCCGCATGAAGATTGAAATAAACAAAGCTGTTTGTGCATCAGACATTATCATTGGGATCTTTCCTTTAAACTTTGTTTGTTTTGGAAATGACTTACAGTATCAAGATAATCTCAATTACTTTGCGCTCAGCGTTCAGCCACATGGGTCACTGTGTAGCTGTGGGCAGTGAGCTGAGGCAAGGCTTTGTGATAACACCTTTTTTTTAGAAACAACAATTTAATTATAAGGTTGTTAATGGGGGATTAAGTGATTAGGCAGTGAGCGACTGTAACAGCAATCTATATTGACCAAAGGATTACCAAAGCTGAAAATACAACGCAATCAGTACGTTATTAATTTATAATGAACAAGAGAATGTTCTATATAAAAGATATCGCAGAGAGTCTATATTAATGGTGTATCTACATAGATCTGCTACTTACTAATTATAATGCTATTGATGGAGACAAAAGTAATGCATTGTCAGATATTGTTCTCAAACAGCCTTATTACCTGAAGATTAGGGTTTATTAAGACCCAACCCAGACCTGATTATATTAATCTGAAGGGACAACATTGGGATTCGCACTGACAGCCAATATGGTGGGATACTGAATGCTAAGTATTCAGTATTCCTGCAGCTTCAACATGTTAAGTCTTTTTGAGAAACAATATGTAAAAAAAAAAGAAGCATCTTGTCCTCTGGATCTCATCCTTCCAATCCCTGCCACTTAAACAGAATCACAGAATTGTTGCGGTGCAGATGGTGACTATTCAGCTCACCATGCTTGCCATGGTTCTATTACCTCGTGCCAACCTCCTGCCTTTTCCTCCATGTCCCTGCACACCATTACTATCCAAAATAAATCTAATGCCCTCCGGAATGCCTCAATTCAAGCTGCTCTCACCACATTTCCAGGCAATGCATTCCACACCCTAACTATTCGCTGTGTGAACAACATGCTCTGTGAAAAGGGTGGCAGAGTAGCTCAGTGGCTAGTGCTGCTGCCTCATAGCTCAAGGGATCCAGGTTTGATTCCAGCCTTGGGGTGACTGTCTGTGTGGAGTTTACACATTTCCCCATGTCTGTGTAGGGTGCCCCGCTTTCCTCCCACAGTCCAAAGATGGTTTCAGTTAGCCCAGGTAAATGTGGGGTTCGGGAGTAGGGTAGGGGCTTGTGCCTGGATGTGATGCTTTTTGGAGGGTCAATGAAGGCTGAATGGCCTCTTTCCACACTGTAGAAATTCTATGCTTCTCACATCACCCTTGTTTCATTTGCACAACACTTTAAATCTATACCCTCTCATTGTTGTATCTTTTCCAAGCAGAAATACTTTCACACTATCTACTCTGTCCAGCGCAGAACAGATCTTCTCAGTCTTCTTCCCTCCAGGGAGAACAGTCCAAACATTTTAAATCTATTCTCATAACTGGCACCATTCTAGTGAATCATTTCTGTATTTTCTCCAATATGTTTGCATATTTCCTGTAATGGGGCACCCAGAGCTGTACACAATTCTCCAGATGAGATCTAACGAGTGTCTTATACAAGTTCAACGTCACCTCCTTGCTCTTATAGTCTATGCCCCCGTTAATAAAACTGAGAACCCGGTATGTTTTACTTCCTGCTCTCTCCACTTCTATTCCTGCTAGCTCCTGTCTCACTGATTCCAAATATTCCTCTCTCTTGCTGTGAAAAATTTTAACAGCACAAAAACAAATGTGTTTACGTTAGGTAGGAGACTGAAATTAAAGAAGTCTAAAGCTCAATCCTAATCCACCCACTTCTGGTTTTAATAGATGGACAGGAGGAGGACCGAGTTGCTCCCAAGAGGTAGGGAGGCAAATTAAATACAACGTTGAAGCTATGCATTGCATATTCCTCAGCGAATCAGGAGGATTTGCCTTTCTATTGAGCTGCCAGAAACAGAACACTGGCCTCACTTACCCATACCCAACTATTTAACACCCTCTTGACACTTGCAGTTGCCACACCGTTGATCTCCCACTGAGACTCCAAACTTCCCAGTCCTACATCTCTGACCTCTTTGAGGAGTCCAAGCTTTCTCTCAAATTATATATAATAGGGTGTGTTTGGATTCTGTGGAGCAGTCCTGCCTGAGGGAGAACACACCAAAAAATCATTGATGGCATCCCATCAAACCATTTCCCTTCTGGTTGCAATTTCTGGATCTATGCTCCAACCTTTGAAAATTAGATTATAGAATACCGAGGGACCTGAATAGAGTGGACGCAGAGAAGATGTTTCCATCAATAGGACAGACTAGAACCTAAGGGAACAGCTTCAGAGTGAAGGGATGACCCATTACAATTGAAGTGAGTAGGAATTTCTTCAGCCAGAGGGCGGTTAATCTGTAGAACTCATTGCCACAGAAGACTGTGGAGGCCAAGTTGTTGAGTGCATTTAAGACAGAGATAGATAGGTTCTTGATTAGAAAGAGAATCAAGGGTTACAGGGATAAGGCACAGTGTTGAGAAATGTATCGGCCAGAAATGAATATCAGAGCAGACTCAATGGGTGGAATGGTGTAATTCTGCTCCTAAATTTTATGGTCTTGAGGTCTGAATACTAATATCTGCTTTAGATTTAGTTGATTTGCATTTTGTTTACACTGTAACAATATTTGAGTTCAAGTCTACATCCTTCTCTCTGGTGTGGAAGTCACTCCCACTTAACTCATTGCTCAAAAATGCTTTCAGAGTGAATGGCCTATACAGAATTTAGTCTCAACAAACAATAGAGATTGAAATGGAGGACATGGAGACTGGAGACCCCATGACATGGAGCCCACTGACTACCCAGGGTAGCAGTCACAGTGCTGTGAACAGCCCAAGAGCAACTTAGGGGATGATGGTCTTTCTTCTTGAACTCCTATAGTGCATAAGTTGATGCTGTTCCCATAACAGTGTTGGGATAGAATATCAGGATTTACCCCAGTGACGATCATGTATCCAAGTCATGATGGCAGCGAGCACAGTTGTTGACCTTGTGAAGTCACTTTCCTTACAGCTGGAAGAGTTCCCTTGCATTGCAACATGACCAAAACAGTCAAGTGCTACAAGCTCAATCCTGAACAATTCAATAAAGACGAAGTAAGTGCTAGATCTGCTGAAAAACTTCCTCATCTGAAGTTGCAATTATGGCTTTAATGATTAAGGATACAGAGAAGAAGACAATGTTCTATTTTGAATGCCTTTTTTGGGTAAGACTGAGGCAGCTGTAAAATTTGAAATTAAATTTACAGCTTTGTTCCTGCTCTTGTTCAGCTTTCCGGTGGTAGAAACGGGTGGCCAGAGCACTGCCTTATTAAACTATGCAACCGGAGTCCAACCACGTGCATAAGGCTTTGAGGCAATTGTCAGAAACTAACAGGTGGAGATTGCATTACAAAAGCTTCATTTGTAATACTGGGATCTTAAATGGACCTCTGCAGGCTACCTTCCAAAACAATAAATGTGCCTTTGTTTTTAAGCATTGTTGTAGGATCAGAACCCTGCAAAAAACTTAACTGCACTCTTCCCCAAATTACATTGTATCTTTCCAATGATTATCACCATCTCTCCTCTCAAAGTATTGCCTTTCCAATTGAAGTTCCAGTCCCTGATCTGACTCTGTGAAGCGGTCCACAGATTTCCTTTCACCCATCCCACGCCCCCATTACATCACCGCCTCTCCCCACCGGTCCTCGCTCATAAATGACAATGTTTTCTGGAGCTGTGGCTTGTCAATATGATGCAAATGAGACCTCACCAACATAATGGCTTGGGCCTCTCACTGGGGACACTGGATGGGTGGCCCAATAGCTCCACCCACTTCCGGCCTGCTTATTGCCTATCAATGGAAAGAAACTCCCTGAGGTTTAAATGTAGCAATATTTCAATGACTCTCTCACTCAGTGGGGATTCCCCTCAACATGATGATTATGCTCCAGTACATATAGGCTGACGCATTGCTACCTGAAGCCAAGACTATTCAGAAGAAACACGTGCACCGAAGAAGTTGACTTGGAGTAATCCTACCTCTACTGACCTGCCTGTTTGTGCCGACACTAGATTCTTCCTTAGTGCCAGCTCACAGGAAAATCACTCCCACTTTACTCGTTGTTCAAAAACGCTTTCAGAGTGAATGGCCTATACAGAATTTAGTCTCAACAAACAACAGAGATTGAAATGTAAACTCTCTTCTACCATTCCACTTGCAAAACTGAATATATTTTCATAATGACTGAGCACTGATGTTGCAATAGGATTTGCCAGACACAGCACTATAATTTAAGAGTGAGGAAGCTTCATTATTGTCAGCGGAGATATAGTCCATGATCCAGGAGGCTGAGGGCAAGGTCAAGGAGTGACAGTGTGAGGCAACTACATGAACATCGGCAGAGAAACAGTCAGTAATTTGCTGCTGAAGGAGGGGTGATTGATGCCAGTGTGAAATAGCTGGATAAACAGCAGCAGAGATACAGTCAATAACACAGATGCTGGAATAGTGAGCAACAATACGAGGGAACTTGATTAACATTTGTGGAGAAACAGTTGGTAACATGGGACAAATAGTTATGGAGTTGGATGAATATTAGAAAAGAAACAATTTGTAACACAAGGGTCTACCTTTGTCTGCAGCAACTGGTTGGTAATCTGGATGGGGTACAGGAGAGGGTAAAGCACCACCCAGTGTACAACCCACTTAATTGTCAATCCTTTGGGATCAATGAAATGAAAATCCAGCAGTTTCTATAAAGAACAAGTGATGCGTCCAACCAGAACACTCACACAGCCGGTGAGGTTGATAATCCCACCGGCTGTGAACAGCCCGTTGTTACTGAGTCTGACAGCATGAGGGAGCAGAACTGAAATCAGCAGATACGAGTGGTTGTTCAACTGGTTAGTAAATTTATGCTAGCAGATGAGTCGCCATCCTCTTCATCTCTGCTGTGTGACGAGTGAGTCCCCAGCGGAATTGAAAAGGCTGTTTCTCTCCTGAAGAACACCACCAATGATTGCCTTCATGTTCCACTCTGTCAACCTGTCTTGTCAAAGTTTGACACAAGTTTAGTTCTTCACTGTCTACACTGTAAATGGCTGAACAAAACTTGCAGCATTTACACAGGGTGGCTGACTGCAGAGTGTAAAGCCTGTATTATGGTATGTGCGTGCTGCGATTAGACCAGTTTTCTGTCACGCTCGCCACAGAATTGATGTCTTTCCAATTTCAGATCGGCAAACATGAAGCCAGCTGCTATTTGGTTTAGAGTGTTTAAATCAAGAAAATGATACTGATAAAAACAATTCAACTGGAAATTAAGTGCCAAAATGCATCCCACAATTCTTTGCTGTTAAAGCTTTTGAGTTGAGCATGCATGACAAGATATATCCTTTCAACCTCTTTAGACAGGCTGGCTGTATCGAGAATAAAGATCAATTAAAGTGATGAACATATGGTAAACAGTAACTTTAGCATGATTAAAGGTTCATTGTAAAAATGCCAAGTCCCCATGGATTTACGAGACTTCTTTTGTTTTCATTCTTCACCTCAGAACAATTATGATTAAATTCTTTAATTAATGTGTCCCAACTGTTGAGAAATTAGGCTAATATATTTTCAGACCCAGGTCATTAGCTTCCCCTGTCCCACTGTTCATTTGATTTATCCCTCATGTGTCCCAGCTTACCCTGTACTCCTGGATGATTCCATTCTGCTCCTCAGCAGGGGGGGGCTCCCAGGACACACTGATACTGGTGCTATTGCTCAAGCCAATTGTCGCTATGGTAACAGCTTGTGGTGCAGCAGCGGGGGCTGTTTTCGTTTTGTGCAAAGAAGAAAAGAGTGTTTAAGTAAAGAGAAAGCACTCTGCAGGACTCTGAAACATCGCCTGTTGCAGTTAGTATCTGAACATATTTGAGAGAAAATGAGTTCAAGGATGCACAGCAATCCTGCAATAGGCACAGCTAGTGGGTTTCCGCTCATTGCAATATAACATATTCCTGAATAAAGCTTCTTTTGAAGAAAAAAGACATTTTTATTAAAATAAATATTTAAAAATACTGAGAAACAAGTTCACACAATATTCAAGCCCAGTATTGCTAAGAAATTTGTCCCAAGCTGCCGTTACCACATTGATTGTTTTGTCCATGTGAACCATTGCTGGGCCAAGGAAGACACATATCCTACGAACAGACCTTGGTCATGGCAAGCAAATAAGATTAGAGTATCTCCTCCCAAAACAAAGGCGGGTGATAAAGGCTTGCTCTGGTTATTAATGACTTGGGTGCAACACTGTGTAGAGCTGGATGAACACAGCAGGCCAAGTAGCATCAGAGGAGCAGGAAGGCTGACGCTTTGGGCCTAGATCCTTCTTCTGAAGAAGGATCTAGGCCCGAAACGTCAGCCTTCCTGCTCTTCTGATGCTGCTTGGCCTGCTGTGTTCATCCAGCTTTACACCTTGTTATCTCAGATTCTCCAGCATCTGCAGTTCCTGCTATCTCTGGGTGCAACACTGCTTGATTCCTCATTGTTTCTTGTCAGAGACAGAGGGCAGCCATTTCCTGGTGCTATTTGTGGGCAGTTCACTTCAGGCAGGGAAACCTAATGGCCCACAAAGTCCATTCCTTCCATAGGCCATGTGCAATCCATTGTATCACACTTTAACCAGCCCATTTAACCTCTCAAGGAAAGCCTCAAGCCCAAATACATCATTAACAGATAGGAACCCATTGCTCTTCACTGTTATTTTGTCTTTGTTTCTCATGTTAGTCAACATGTCAGCTCTTACCTTTGTGTTTCAGTAACTAGCCAAACTCCATATACACTGGGACAGAGCTGCAATCTGCATCCTAGTGAATGTATGTTATTAGAGCTTTGTTATTGGGGACTTTCCATGGAAAAGAATATTTACTCAGTCAGTATTTAACTGAATCCTCCCTCTCTCTCTCTCTCCTTGTGCTATGTGGCACTCCACAGCTGGGAGACTGGACAGACAGAACTTCCTCCCAGAGCCTTTAGAAACCCTGATTTGAAAACAGATGTGAGGGGGAGATCAGAAGAGGAAAAAGCAGAAAAGAATAAGCAGGAGATTGAGTGGCAGATTGTTGGCTGTCTGTGATCATTTGCACATTGTGTTACAGACTTCAGCTGCTGTGGGAGTCCCTCCCCTCCAACTATCTTGATCTAGGTTTATTGAATAAAAGAAATATAAGGATGACAATTTCTTGGTAAATAAGCTGTGCTTCGCTTGATGTGATTTTACACCAGAGCTCTGCTGCTTCTTCAGGTTCAAAACCGATCTGACAATGCAGCAGCCTGAGACCTGGTCACATAATAATTCTGCTTCACTCTGAGGCTCTTGGTGGTACATCAAATAAGGCTTGAACTTCAATTTAAAGAAGAACTTCTTCCAATTTAAATACCTCAATCTAAAGTTTCATGATGCTGTTGTAGTATCAAAGACTACTGGAGTCATAGAGTCACAGAGATGTACAGCATAGAAAAAGACCGTTCAGTCCATCCCACCCATGCTGGCCAGATATCCTAAATTAATCTAATCCCATTTGCCAGCATTGGACCCATATCCCTCTAAACCCTTCCTATTCATATACCCATCCAGGTGGCTTTTAAATGTTGTAATTGTGCCAGCCTCCAGCACTTCCTCTGGCAGCTCATTCCATATACGAACCATCCTCTGTGTGAAAAAGTTGCAGCTTCAGTCCCTTTTAAATCCTTCCCCTCTCACCTTAAACCTATGCCATCTAATTTTGGACTCCCCTATCCTGGGGAAAAGACCTTGATTATTTATCCTATTCATGCTCGTCACAATTTTATAAACCTCTATAAAGGTCACCCCTCAGTCTCCGATGCCCTGGGGAAAACAGCCCCAGCCTATTCCGCCTCTCCCTATAGGTCAGGTGTGAGTGTCATATGATTATAATTTAGGAGTACCTCCTTTAGTTTATAAAATTGTCATGGTTTGGAATTGAATTGTTAAATGAAAGGAGTCATGTGACCTATTCTGGAATTTATCTGAAAGTAAACCTGGCTGGTTTAGTGGTTTGATCAAAAGAGGAGTCACATTCTGTTACTGAAAGAGAGGTGCCAAATGTTGATACCTGCTGTTTCACAATGAGAAGACCAGAAGTCTCCTAAAACCAAGTTGGTATTGTTATCAAATTGTAAATATTTGTGCTGGAACATATACTGTTGTTTCAAAGATGAAAAGCAACGGGAATAAGAGATAGTAGGAACTGCAGATGCTGGAGAATCCGAGACAACAAGGTGCAGGGCTGGATGAACACAGCAGGCCAAGCAGCATCATAGGAGCAGAGAGGCTGACGTTTCGGGCCTAGACCCTTCATCAGAAAAGGGGGAGGGGAAGGGGGTTTTGAAATAAATAGGGAGAGAGTGGGAGGCGGATAGAAGAGGGATAGAGGAGAGGATAGGTGGAGAGGAAACAAACAGGTCGAAGAGGCGGGGCTGGGGCCAGGAAAGGTGAGTGTAGGTAGGGAGTTAGGAAGGGGATAGGTCAGTCCAGGGAGGACGGACAGGTCAAGGGGGCGGGATGAGGTTGGTCGGTAGGAGATGGAGGTGCGGCTTGAGGTGGGAGGAGGGGATAGGTGGGAGGAAGAACAGGTTAGGGAGGCAGGGACGAGTTGGACTGGTTTTGGGAAATAATAAGAGAATAAGAGATTCCTAATTACCATTTCTACGTGGATGTGGGGCCAGTGTGTTTGCCATTTTCATGGAGACACAGATGAAGAAAGCCAAATTAAATCTAGATTACAGGCTTCTTTAAAAAGGGAGAGATATTCCAGACAAAGGACAGTTGGAGCAGTTGATGTAATGCAAGCGCCTGGGTATGGAAGAACAAGAAGATATGTGTTGACCAAGCCTGCACCTTAAGCAGGGAAATGCTGACTCCACTGATTACAATGTGAAACTTACACTTGGGAGTTTAAACCTCACTTGAAAATCTAGTTGGTGAGGAGTTAAAACAAGTCTGCAGGGTTCCCTGACCTGGAGCTAGGGACAGAATTTCAAGGGAAAGCTGTCACTATGAAAGATAGTATTAGGAAAGGGGGAAAAAAAACAGAACTAACACCTGTGTAACCTGTGAACCCAGGAGAAATAAATGTCTACAAAGTCAATAAAAGTAGAAAGGGGCAAATTATGATTGGCTGCTTAAAGTATAGTTGCCCAAGGGAAAAATGTGCTTAATCAACAGTGTTTCTTTAGTTGTTTGATACAGTAAATGCTAAAATAAGAATGAGATCTTATTGAGTGCCTTTTTCCGCTAGTAACTGAAAGTTTGAATTTCTCTTTAAAAAGTAATCATTGTTTTCAGAGATCACAACATGATGATTTGAAGTGGATGAAAATGGTTTATGCCCAGAAATAATGTGCATGATTTTCTATTCAATTGCTCAACAGACTTAAAAATCGAATACAATAAGAGATGAGTTGCTAATTCAGTACGAGCCCATTCCGAAGTAACAGCCCAAACCCATTTTATCCCTGACCTATCTACAAGCTGGAGCTTGAGTTCTCAGTTTGTGCCCAGGTCCTACCTTCCTCTGGCGTCCGTACGATGACAGATTCACTGTCCATTCCTTGGAACTCATCGAAATATGGACGGATCTTAATTTCATACTCGGTGCCTTTCTTCAAGTCAACAAGAATGGTTGTGCGCTCGGCTGGAGATTTCACATCCTGGACAAGCCAGGCGCTAGTCTTGGTTCGGTACATTACCCGGTAACCCTGAATAAACTGGGCCTGGCGATCAACCTGTGATGTAAGCATCAGATGGATTTCGTCATGGGAATGTGTACAATCACAATGGAGAAAAAAAGGATTGATCCCAGTATATTTCAAACAATGGGAAAGCTTAGAACTTAGAGTTTCAAAGAGATTTAGGGGTGCGCGTAATTAGATCACTCAAAAGTCACAGAGACAAAAAGAAATCAAAAATGGTTAATGCAGCAGAGCTTTTACACCTCAAAGTCCACCACACCTTAAAAAGGATACAATGGGCTAGGAAAAAATTGAGTGTAAATTCATCAGAATATTACCAGGTCTCTCAGGAGTGTACAATGACCTCACTCATATTCCCTGGAAAAAAGATGGTAAAAGGTAGATTTGATTGAGGATTTGGTAGGTTGGATGGAGAGAAACTTATGGGACATAAACTTAAAGTCAGGGACAAATCTTTTCGGATTTGGAATCACTTAGAGTCATACGGCATGGAAACAGACCCTTCAGTCCAACTGACCATGCTGACCATATATCCTAAATTAATCTGGTCCCAGTTGCCAGCATTTGGCCCATATCCCTCTAAGCCCTTCCTTTTCATATACCCATCCAGATGCCTTTTAAATGTTATCATTGTACTACCTGCACCACTTCCTTAGCGGCTTATACCATCCACACACCACCTTCTGTGTGAAAAAGTCACTCCTTAGGTCCCTTTATATCTTCCCCTCTCACCTCAAACCTATACCATAAGACATAACCCCTCTAGTTTTGGACTCCCCTACCCTGGGAAAAGGCCTTCTTCTCTCTTCTTCTAACAAAGTGTGGTAGAAATGCTGAGCTAATGCCCAATAAAAAGAAGAGGTGCTGGCCCAATTCATAACTTTAAATCTGAGATCACTGGAACTTTAACACTCATGATTATGACCCAGCTTACAGAGTCAAGGCGAGAGCTCGGATACAGACAAGATATGATATTAGAGAAATGGTGAAACAGGATTGAGGGACTGAATGGCCCCCTTCTGTTCCTATGTTTCTATTTATATTCCACCAGCCAAAACACTCCCAAATAATATAACTAGTAAAACATTCAATTTTCCTGTCCCTGGAGCAGGAGCTCCTCAGAAGGATATACTGCAAACATCTATGGTCATTTACTTGGGACACCAGTATGTCCTGTATGTTGCAGTTTTACCTTGTTGCTTCATCAGTTTCCAATTCATCAGGAGGATAAATGCTGCTCTGCTTTCTGCAGCCTATTGCTAGCAGCAGGGTCTTTTTTCTTGGTTTGATACTTGGCCCTTCCTGTTTGGGCCAAAAATGAATAAGCAACATCTCATCCATTTCCTACATCTCCCTCTACGCTCGAGATTCTGAACTATCTGCATATGTATTTTTATTTCATTCAAGGGTCATTGCCCAAGTATCTTCAATAATATGCATAAGAAAGATATGACAGCACTCATGACTGAAATTACTTGTGCTTATGAAATGCCTCTTTGATCAGACACTACGTCATAATTGAACAGATGGAAAATATAAAGATTTCAGTGGCTGCCCATTCTTCTCCTAGCACGCTAACTCTCAGCTTGCCTTTCCCCTTAAGTGACATGGCTGTGAGACATTGCTGTATTCACTACTTACCATCCAGGTGACCTGGATGGTTGTGGATGTCAAGGTGACAGGAGGCTGCAGCTGCAATCCCACCTCCCCGAGCTCACGCTGTACTTGCCGATGGTCCACCCCCTGTCCCGTGGGACTTACATCTGTGAACAATAAGGAGAAGTAATGCAATAAATTTGTGCTAATACATTTAAGTGCCTTAGTATCTACTAACAGTTATGCTAAGTACTTTAATGGTCCATTGCAGGATTAATTAATCAATAAGAACAACTGCAGCAATGCAGACGCTGTCTAGGAGTTCAAAGTAATGATGCATGCATCAGTCACGCATTTAATAATAACTTAAATATCTATAAATCCGCAAACATTTTCATTATCATTCATTCGTAGAATTAATACAATGGAAAGTATAAATGGAATACTGGAGTAACTAGCTGTAATCTAATCAAAAGTAGAATGAGCTACTTGGTTCCAAGTTAATTGAGACATGAGTTTACTGCCCTGAGTTGGATTCCTTGCAACCTGTATTAGCATTGTTTTCTGAATGGCATTAATCTAGCTCCCTCACACTGTTGCCCTTAGTAACGTCTCCCCATTACTTTGCAATGATGATGATGATGAGATAAACTATATGTTTTGATTTTTGGTGCAGAGCTTCAGAAGATTTTAAAGACATGGAAAATCAAAAGACAACTGAACTCAGCATCAAACAGTATTTCTTCTTACTGATCTTCAAAACTACTTTGTTTTTATTCATTCATAGGATGTGGGTATCGCTGAGT